GACACGAGAGCGGTTGCATAAGCCCGCTTTAATGCTTTTTTAAAAGCAGAAGGGCGGGCTAAAAAACGGAAAATTTCCGTGGAAAAATGGAATTTTTTTTAGGCTTTGGAAGTTTTTCGTAAATTTTCAACCGTACCGCGGAGATGTAGTTGATGAGGGAGAGCCCGCCGTCCCAGGGCTCCTCGCGCGTGCAGCTCACGTTGGACAGCCGAAGCGCGTGGCCCTGCTCCAGGCTCTGCAGCCCGATGGCGAACACGTGCACGGCGTCGAACATGAGCGCGGGCTCGGACTGGAACAAACACAAATTATTAACATTGCTTTTACTAATACCAAAATTCTCATTTAAAAAAAAAAATTGAAAAAAGTAAATAAAAAATGACATGAACATTTTTTTCCACACTTAAAATGAAGAGTGCAAATGTTTCTACACCCAACTCCGAACACTCTTCGAGTTTTAGTTTCTGCGCTTTTCTGAAAGTATATTTCAAAATGAACATATTTTTCCTTAAAGGTCATTATCAATCTAAAATTTCCACAGGCAACCTTTTTTTCTGACAGTGTCCTATAACGTTGCAGAACGCATGTAGCGCGGTACGCTAGTAGGCCTAGAGATATGAATGCATGTATTATGGTAAACCGTGTGTAGGTGGCGCCGTTACAGAGTTGCATTCAGTGGGATTAGGGTGGCGGTGGTGGGGGTAAAGGAACAGGCGTTCCGGCACTCTCAGACGAAACTAACCAGCTTATTGGCATTTCGGGAACGCATCATTGTAGACTGACAAAGTATAACGTCGGCCCATGACGTACCAAAAGCGAACAATGTTCGCGAAATGTCACATTCGCGCTCTTCGGCGGACCGAAAGCGAACTCCACGACGAACCGTGCGCGAACATCTGGCGAACACTTAAAAAGGTCGCGGCTTGTACGCGTGGAGTTCACCACGACGCACAGAAAACGATCTAAAAGCGAACAAATCTTTTTGCGTCAGGTAGGTAGAAACTATTGTAACATATCTACATACAATTTCCGATCCAAAATTACATAGAAAAAACTAGAACATCCAAAACGCATAACAAGATTATAGCTTCCTTCTTCTGTATGGCTAGGCTACAAATTCCCTACCTCCCTGCCTACGAGTGCATAAACGTGTGTGAGTGCACTTCGCTTTGGTCGACCGCATCGGATTTGGCAACATGTCCCGCCCTCTATTTCGCGTACGCGTCCGAAATACAGGCCTGCAGGGTGCAGGCCTCATCATTCCTTTGCTGCGAGAAGCAGGTGGATGCAGTCCGGATGCAGCGCTCCTCCTGCAGTGCCGAGGTCATAAACACAGCCGGGGACCTCCGCACCCCCGTTTTACTTTA